TCTGTCACTTTCACTTCCCATGACCTAATTGAGCAGAGGTCCTTTGTTGTCTCCTGTACGTGCGCCTTTGTACACACGGTCACAATATATCCAACCAGACAGTTAGAGCTACCATCTGAACTTTAACTCTTCGCTTGCTGCTGGATATGGGAACAGAGCGCTTCTAGGGGGTGCTGTGATGTCGACTCTTAATTCAGCAACGTTCAGCAACATATCTTGTCAGGCTGATAAACAAAGTCCCCCTCGTTATTTGTGATGAAGGGCCAACAACACACGTTTATTCCACAACTCCCGGGGAAACAATCTCCTATTATGTCAGCCACAGGGAACCTTTATGCCGTACAGATACAACTTTAACAGAACCAGAGGTCGACTACGCATAACATAGACTGCAGAAATATCAGAGAATAGTACCATATACGAAGCGAACAGAAGCGCCCGTTCCAGAAATCTCTTCCTACCCTGACTCTGCGAGGCGTTTCAAGATTAGAGAGAGAAAAAAAAAGGAACCTTGGGACTTCGATTTTTATGCTGACACCCTCTCTCTCTCTCTCTCTCTCTCTCTCTCTCTCTCTCTCTCTCTCTCTCTCTCTCTCTCTCTCTCTCTCTCTCTCTCTCTCTCTCTCTCTCTCTCTCTTTCTCTCTCGGAATAGTGTAAAAGGACAATTACTCCTCTATGTTTAACAGTTGTATTTCAAGTATTTGTTGATACATTCAGTATTATTTCAAAAATATTATTTCTTTATTATAATCAGCACTTAATAATATTAGTAACAATAGTAGTAATAGCAGCAACAGAAGTAGCAGTAGTACGAGACTTAAACCTATTGAAGCGTCCCCCCACCACCCCCAACCCGAGGAAAATTTATGTGACAGAACCGCGCTCCTGTTTTCCCCCCGAGCGCCCCTCCCCCCCCCCCTTTCCCCCACAACCATTACTCAATGTTTTATTTGTGTCGGCACTCAAAACTGGCGGGTTGATAAACCGTCGTTCGGACATCTGCAGTTTAACACAGTAGATCGTAGGTATCAGGCCTCTCTCTGGCTAAGTGGTTAAGCTCGGTACTTTTGGCTCTGAGGGTCGTTTGTTTCACTAGCGCCGTTTTAATGCAGATCATGGGAAACGTTGCTAGAGCTACAGAGATCGTGCTTTGTTTGGAGTGTGGAATACACGGGTTGTGTGATGTATGGTGTATGAGATAATACAGAGTGTGTGATGTATGGAATATACAGAGTGTGATGTGTGGAGTATGGAATATACAGAGAGTGTGATGTATGGAGTATGGAATATACAGAGTGTGTGATGTAAGGAGTATGAAATATACAGTGTGTGTGATGTAAGGAGTATGAAATATACAGAGTGTGTGATGTATGGAGTATGGAATATACAGAGTGTGTGATGTGAGGAGTATGGAATATACAGAGTGTGTGATGTGAGGAGTATGGAATATACAGAGTGTGTGATGTAAGGAGTATGGAATATACAGAGTGTGTGATGTAAGGAGTATGAAATATACAGAGTGTGTGATGTATGGAGTATAGAATATACAGTGTGTGTGATGTATGGAGTATGAAATATACAGAGTGTGTGATGTATGGAGTATGGCATACACAGAGTGTGTGATATATGGAGTATGGAATATACAGGGTGTGTGATGTATGGAGTATGGAATATACAGAGTGTGTGATGTATGGAGTATGGAATATACAGAGTGTGTGATGTAAGAAGTATGGAATATACAGAGTGTGTGATGTATGGCATATACAGTGTGTGTGATGTATGGAGTATGGAATATACAGAGTGTGTGATGTATGGAGTATGGAATATACAGAGTGTGTGATGTATGGAGTATGGAATATACAGAGTGTGCGATGTAAGAAGTATGGAATATACAGAGTGTGTGATGTATGGCATATACAGTGTGTGTGATGTATGGAGTATGGAATATACAGAGTGTGTGATGTGTGGAGTATGGAATATACAGAGTGTGTGATGTATGGAGTATGGAATATACAGTGTGTGTGATGTATGGAGTATGGAATATACAGAGTGTGTGTGAAGTATGGAGTATGGAATATACAGAGTGTGTGTGATGCATGGAGTATGGAATATACAGTGTGTTTGATATATGGAGTATGGAATATACAGTGTGTGTGATGTATGGAGTATGGAATATACAGAGTGTGTGATGTATGGAGTATGGAATATACAGTGTGTTCGATATATGGAGTATGGAATATACAGAGTGTGTGATGTGTGGAGTATGAATATACAGAGTGTGTGATGTATGGAGTATGGAATATACAGAGTGTGTGATGTATGGAGTATGGAATATACAGAGTGTGCGATGTAAGAAGTATGGAATATACAGAGTGTGTGATGTATGGCATATACAGTGTGTGTGATGTATGGAGTATGGAATATACAGAGTGTGTGATGTGTGGAGTATGGAATATACAGAGTGTGTGATGTATGGAGTATGGAATATACAGTGTGTGTGATGTATGGAGTATGGAATATACAGAGTGTGTGTGAAGTATGGAGTATGGAATATACAGAGTGTGTGTGATGCATGGAGTATGGAATATACAGTGTGTTTGATATATGGAGTATGGAATATACAGTGTGTGTGATGTATGGAGTATGGAATATACAGAGTGTGTGATGTATGGAGTATGGAATATACAGTGTGTTCGATATATGGAGTATGGAATATACAGAGTGTGTGATGTATGGAGTATGGAATATACAGTGTGTTTGATATATGGAATATGGAATATACAGTGTGTGTGATGTATGGAGTATGGAATATACAGTGTGTTTGATATATGGAGTATGGAATATACAGAGTGTGATGTATGGAGTATGGAATATACAGTGTGTGTGATGTATGGAGTATGGAATATACAGAGTGTGTGATGTATGGAGTATGGCATATACAGTGTGTGTGATGTATGGAATACACATGGTGTTTGATTTATGGAGAATGAGATATACAGAGTTTATGATGTATGGAGTATGAGACACACATAGTATAAATGAAAGTCATAAGATATGCTTGCTATAGTGTGAGTGAAGAAAATGCAACATGTGTGGTCGCAGCCATCGATCAACATACGGTGAGTTTATAGACTTATATTGAGATAACCACTGTAATCACAATACTGTCAACTGTCCACTACCCAGGATCGATTGCTGGAGTCTCCGCATTGGCTAACGATACCTTCGAGTTTCGCTTGCCAGTTGTGCAGAGTAAGTATCCGGGCGCATATCGAAATTGCCCACATAAGAGTAGCACTTATCACTTTTCATCACTTTTCATGTCATTATAAACTATAATAACAGCAGGAAATGGGGCGAGAAAACTAATTACGTTTTAGACAGACATGTTAATAATTACTTTTGGTGAAGCACATAGTTATTATTATTTGGCTTGTTTCTGTCTTTCTCTTTTATTCCTTAACACTGTCTCTCAGTCCCCGTGTCTTCTCTCTCTCTCTCTCTCTCTCTCTCTCTCTCTCTCTCTCTCTCTCTCTCTCTCTCTCACACACACACACACACACACATACACACACACACACACACACTCGCTCTCACACACTCACTCACTCACTCTCTCTCACACTCACTCACTCACACACACACACACACACACACCCCAACACCCACACTCACTCACACTCACTCACTCACACACGCGTGTATATGTATATGTACGTATATATATATATATATATATATATATATATATATATATATATATATATATATATATATATATATATATATATATAAATATATGTCTCAACGTGTGTGTGCGCGCGCGTGATGAGGAGGCCTGATGCGGAATTTAAACAATTACTAGTGAACTACAAACATTCAGCACATCATTAATGAATTGCAAATGTGTCACGGAATCACTCGTGTGTAAGTAAAGATAAAATGCAACACATTCGAGGGAATCAGGGGGCAAGGAAAAGACACTAAACATGACTGAAAGAAAACCTGTTAACTGTGTAACTAGAAAGTGTTTTTTTCTACCTGAGATCCATACGGAAAATGAAATTGATGGGAGCACTAAAGCAGAGTGAGAAGAGAATGTTAAGAGCCATGGTTGCTGGGGATATGCAAGACACGGAAGCGTCTGCAGGCATGGCAAAGGCTAAGAGGCCTTGTTGTTTATGGTTGGGGCCTTATTGTTCAATTCTCTAAACAAGGATTCAACACAAGAATTAACCTAACAATTAGGCGAAGTATAAGAATTTAGATGCTTAAGCTCTGACTTAATTTAACGCTGACTCAATCTTTTCTCCATGTTTACATCATTCATTAAGACGTGGGATAGATCCACTGCCCCCCAGTGTCATAAAAGTCTACTGATTGGGGATGTTCCCTTCGAAGTCAGAGTGCATCTGCCTGAGCAGCGAGAAACCAGTAGTCTGCACACAGATCATCCAGATCTGTCAAATAAACGTGCATGCAAATAGTTCAGGAACACGACCAAAGTCCAGAAGTGGACGAACCACCAAAACTTTTCGCCGGAGTTTTTAGCCGATGAACGAGAAGAAGACTATCCGGATGCAAATCCAGCACGAGCAAATTGCACCCTCCAGTTAGCTGTATACAACAGTTTTGTCTGGGCACCCTTGACCAATGAACCCTCTGTCCAGTGTGGCTGGATGTATCCTTTCTGATTCATGGACATTCCATATGATATTCCATTGAGTTTGTATGTGGTAATAAATTACATAATGAACAAGTCGTTTAGTGCATGGTCAGTCATAATAATTTTGTTATTATTTTTTTTTTTTTAAATTTAAATTTCTGTTTATTGATTTAGCTTTCTATAAAGATGGGTAAACCTTAACATTTGTGTGTCCCTTTGTGAGTGTGTCTAAGTAACTTTATTTTTCTCATCCATATTTTCGTCTATCTCATTTGGAAACACGGTAAACACAGAGCGGTTTTAAATTATGCTTATGGTTTATTCTGTTGTCAGGTCCCCCTAAAATAACTCAAGCTCCCAGACACAAGAAGGTGGCCGAGGAAGGCACCGTCAGCTTTATCTGCAAGGCGTCGGGGGATCCAGCACCATCCTTTCACTGGGAGCGGGCGGGTAAGAAGATCAACGACCGTCGCAACAGGTACGAGATCAACGATGCCCCACACATCTCGGTGCTGAGGATTAAACCAGTCAAAGCCAACAAGGATAACGCCACCTTTACCTGCGTGGCCAACAATAATTTGGGGGAAGCCAGAGCTGATGCTTCGCTGACCATCTACCCGAAGGTGGAAGGAAGTGATGGTAAGACAATCTGTTTATGCCCTTTTTTTGCTAAAATATTCTAACATGTTCATTTCAGCTCCTAATAGTTTAATATTTCCCTTTTCCCCATCTGGTATCACTAGAATCTAACTTCCTAATCAAAGGGCTAATTATTAGCGTTTCTGACATGTCCTAATATATCTTATGTTTTGATCTCCATGTCCTCTTATGATTCATACATTGACTGTGTATTGTATTTGTATTGTTGTATTTATACATGGCAGTACGTGCAGATAAACGAACTTTAAACCTAGTCATAAAGTATTTTCATTACCCTACAGCATGCTCTTATGCGCCATATAGGTCTTGCCGCTTGTCGTCAGTTTCATTCTGATGCGTGCAGTCAATTGGATAACATGAATGCTGTCTAATCCAGTGGCTGTGGTTGCTGTCCCTAACATCCATCTAGGGTGTCATAACATTCATTTGTATATTACATCGAATTGTTATTATTAACACGATACAGTTAGATGCATAGTCCACGTCTATGTAACATTCTTTCCTTCTTATAACGGTTAGACCATTTGCCTGGTATACACAGGCACATCTGGATTTCACACCCCTGTCCTGTCACTGGGAAAGCATTTGACCTACACTCGCACGTACACGCTCGCAAACATGTGCGCACATGCTTACGTAGTTATATGCACCCACAGACGCGCGCGCGCACACACAAAACACACGTTTACTCTCCTTATTTTACGAAGTCACTGTGGCGCCATCCTGACAGCGTGAAATCAAACCTGCCTATTGCTCCCACTTCTCCTGCTGCAAACACCATCATAAGATCTGTAATGCAAACATAGAGATGTTTTCTGCGGCCGTCAGTAATAATAGGTTTTTGTGTCGTGGACTCCTCCTCTGACATCTCCAGGGGCCTCAGTTGAGCTTCCCATTCAGCGATGGAAGGCGCGTGTGACGTACGTATCCCAGAATATGCGGGCTAAAATGACAACATACACTGACATTCAAAACTATGTTGTTAATTTATATTAGAGCACTTTCCATTTTTTCCCCGAGTCTGTTGCCTATGCAATATCTAAAATTTTCGGAGGAAACATGACCTGCCGAGTTATAATTTCAGCTTTTCTGTTTGTGTTTGCCGAATCACGACTTGACAACATATTTATATGCTTCTGCATGAATGTGTCGTTTCCATATCGGTCTTGCATATCCCTCTGGTTTCTGTCAGAGTTCTGCCACGAAAAACACATTTGAAATAAATATAAAAGGACACTCGTAGTCTGTACTTCTTTATGTATTCTGTATATTCTGTTCTATTTATTACAAGTCTCCCCCCCCCCCCCCATCCCCATTAACTTTCTACCGCCCCAATTACTACTGTTGCTGCTACTACCACTGCCACGCGCTGCTGCTGCCGCCACTGCAGTTGCTGCTACTGCTACAACAACAAAAACTACTGCTGCGACTACTGCTGCTGCTAACGCCACCACCACCACCAGTATTAGTATTACTATTTCTATTTTCATTCTTTTGTTTATATCTTTTTTTTTCTTTTATACTGTAATTATATTTTGTGTTAGTCATCCGTGTCTCCCACGCATGGAGGCTGATATCTAGGATTTGTTGTTGCTCGTTGATATAGACTTCGGTTGAAACGTTGGATTGTTTCTTTGCGTCTTTTTTCTTCTTCTTCTTTCTTTTCGTGAGCTTGCTTAGTCTTAAGTAAACTTTTTTTCCCGTCTTCCTAAACACATAATTTTTGTTTCTTCCTAATGTCTTCTTTTCACACAAATAGGGATATCAAATCTACACGAAACATACCAGGGCTTGTCTGTCAGAACCACGACCGGCCCCAGCTGACGGGCCGTGCTGCTGACGTCACTGGGTCGGGCTAACGATGCTTTAACGCAGCGATTCTCAAACAAGAAATATGCTATTCTCGACAGATGCGAGGGAACGACAACTTAAATTTGAACTTTTAAGTATCTACATTCCTCCCGACACTTCGATGAGGTACAAGGTGGAAGAGAAGAAGAAGAAGAAGAAGAAGAAGAAGAAGAAGAAGAAGAAGAAGAAGAAGAAGAAGAAGAAGAAGAAGAAAAAGAAGAGGTATCTACATGCCTTCCATAATAATTTCACAATTTTTAGCCGACTTTTCTTGATTATTGCCGCGGCACCCCGGGCATACGCTCACGGCACCTCAGCACGCAGTTTGAGAACCGCTATGTTAACGCATAGTTAACCCGACCCGGTGACGTCAGCAGCACGGCCCGTCAGCTGGAGCCGGTCGTGGTCAGAACTGTCTCCTATTCGTCTCTCAAAAGGGCACGTAAGTTAATATTCCGCTGTTTAAAAAAAAAAAAAAAAAAGCTGCATGGATGGCACATCAGCAAAAGAGGGCAACACAAGATACCCAATTCAACTTCAAAATATTTCACTGGGGGCACCCGTTACCGCTGCATAGGTAACTGCTTTGCTGGAGGAAAAAAAGTCATCACGTTTAACCAGCATTCCCGAAGGGGGTGCTTTAGGTTAAAATTGTGACTAGGTTATGTGTGCCATATAAAACGGCTTAGCATTGCACACCACCAAGAGACCCAAAAAGGACTCCTGCAGTATTGATGCTGTCTTAGGAGATTGACGCAAATGCTGTCCGACTGGCGATTAAGTCGTCTACCGGCGAGCCAGTGGGTGACCCGGACGCCGATTAACCGCTACATCATTATGGTGTAAGCTGCAATTGAGTGCGGATAAGGAAGTTAGTGAAAAGTTTAACCTGGTTTTCTATAGTCCTTATGTATGGAGCAGTTAAGTCCCCTGTCTAACCGGTTTCCTCTGGGTACGCATTTATACAGACACATGTCTGTATTTTTTGTTTGCCATTTACTCCATTTTGTTGTTGTTTCATGTTTTCCTGTGTTTGTTTGCCTATTCGTCTGTCTCCGATTTTTTGTCTCTTCCTCGTCTTTCTCTGTCTGTCTGTCTCTCTCTCTTAGTTCTTTTTTTTAAATAATCTTTTATTGAGAATACGTTTATAGCTTGTTTATTTCTCGGGGAAAAAAAAAAAGGGGGGGGGGGGGGGGGGAGTGACGGTTTGTAAGCCGTTTTTACGATAAGCTAAAGTTGCAATTTTGCACACCTGTTCTTTGTGGATGCCAGTGCTTGCCATCTGGTGGAAGAACAATACTATTTTTTAAGGTAAAAAATATGCAAGGCGATTATGAACGATATATATATTGTCAGGGGAGATAATATATTTTGTCAGGGGACGTAATTCCTAAGTTGATTCTCAGCCTTGAGATGCTAATCCTTCAGAATACAAATCTAAAGAGGGGGGGGGGGGGGGGAGAGAGAGAGAGAGAGAGAGAGAGAGAGAGAGAGAGAGAGAGAGAGAGAGAGAGAGAGAGAGAGAGAGAGAGATACACACACACACACTCACCCAGAGAGGGGGTGGTCTGTTTAAAAAAAAGGTTTTGAAAGGCGCGCATCCCTATCTGCTCAAATCTGCAGGTTACGTCAGGCTGGTGTTGCTATTACAGGTGCACTAATTTCAACTTCTCTGGTATTTGTACGGGTTGTGAGGAATCACCCTGTCTGGCCTGCAAGCGATTTACCTGTATTTTTCTATCTTAGGTAGGAAACCTTCAGATCGTTAGCCTTGATGGGACAAGCCGAACGATTTATCTACGCATACCTATGTCATGTCTAACAGTCTTGTCACAACAGGTGACTAAATTAAATATGCTGGCATGAGATGGGTTGGGCCGAGCGGCGCAGAAGTTTATGTTTAGATGTAAACCACGACACAAGGTGCCTACCGTCCTTTTAAGGAAATAAAGGGGGAGGGAAGTTGTAGGGGGGAGAGAGAGAGAGAGAGAGAGAGAGGGGGGGGGGGGCAGAGATCAACTGGAGTTATTACAAATAAAACAAGACAAAACAGTTTTAAACTGAATAATAATTTAATTGACAAATAGGTAAAAATTACTAAAATAGTAGAAAATTTAACAAAAATGTTTTAAATAAAAACTTTAATAATAAATAAGCTTTTATTTAACAAACATTACACAATTAACGCACCGAAAGGACATAAATAATTATTCATACAGATGGGCACACAAGATTTAAAAAAAGTCTTTCACACCATTTATCTACAATTTATTACCAGAACTAATAAAAGCTTAGTAAACATCACAGTAAACAGAGAGATATGTTGTTTGTTTGTTTTAGTATCCAGAAGCCATGAGGTTTTAACCCTTAGGCTCGGTATTATGGATATCGCAACCTTTCGGCCTTTGTAAATACCGTAAATCTGGGAGAAATGTGGCTTTTCTGCCTACCCCCGGGAGTGAACGCGGATCAAAAGGAGTTCGTCACCCGCTCACCGCGCAATCCGGTTTAGCCAACTACGCTAGAGAGCCGGGCAACAGAGAGATATAAAAACAAGTAACTCGTCTCTCCTGTCTTCGACACGCAGTAACAAATGCTGGCAGAAGTGAAGCAGAAATCAAAATGACAATAGAACTGGCTAAAACTATCTTCAATAAGATACGCCAGTAACTGACAACTAGAGAGATAAACAACACATGAACAATGAGAATCGTCAGATGTTTCTTGTCAGATGTTTTGTGTAGTCAACCCTGCTGTGCAGAATCTTGGGCAATGAACAGGCACTAGAAAATCAAATTCAGTCTATGGAATGTGTGGATATACAGGTCGTATTTCATGGAAGCAAAAAACATTCCAATACAGAGGTTCTGCAAAGTCTACGAAGAAAAAGAGAATTACTGAAAGAACTAAAAAAGAGATAATTGAAATACTCTGGCAACACGAGAAGACATAAAACGCTTTTAAAAACAATACTAGAGAGAAAGGTTGAAGGCAAGAGAGCAAGAGGTAGATAACAATAGAAGTGGAAAGACAGCATCGAGAGATAGACGAACAGCAGTCTGGGAGTGTTCAACTAAGACAAGATACAGAGCGTGTTGAAAATCCGACCTTCAGTGTGGAGACGGCAT